GCCTCCTCTCCCCCTCCCCCCTCCTCCTCCTCCTCCTCCTCCTCCTCCTCCTCCTCCTCCTCCTCCTCCTCCTCCTCCTCCTCTCCTCCTCCTCCTCCTCCTCCTCCTCCTCCTCCTCCTCCTCCTCCTCCTCCTCCTCCTCCTCCTCCTCCCTCCTCCTCCTCCTCCTCCTCCTCTCTCCTCCTCCTCCTCCTCCTCCTCCTCCTCCTCCTCCTCCTCCCCTCCTCCTCCTCCTCCTCCTCCTCCTCCTCCTCCTCCTCCTCCTCCTCCTCCTCCTCCTCCTCTTTTACGTTGCACAGACATGGATCAGAGATCGTTACGTTTACCCCCCCACACCCCCCTCCTCGGTCGGTCGGTCGGTCGCGCGGTTCGAGGTTCGAAGACGAAATGGAGAGAAAGAGGGCGAGAATACCACTGGGCGGAGAACACAGCAGGGGCTGCAGCAGGCCCGAGAGTGGAACAAGCTGAAGCCGCGCTAACGGCGCAGGCACCAAAGGCGCGGGACTGCCTGATAGCACCACTACCTTGTTGAAGTGGGCGCGCACCGGAGAAAAGAGAAAGGGCGCGGGCAGGGGCGGATGACAAGAAGACCCTTCACCCCAGGCAGATGCAGGTACTGTTGCGAACAACGCGTCGAAGCAGCAACTTAAACACCTTTGTGACACTGCCTTTTAAGCCACGGGCGCACGCGGGAGGAGGCACTTGGCCCTGTCGGAACAGTCACACAGAGGCCCTTCCCTATTCCCTATACACCAACTCCCACCTGAGCAGCCGCCCCATGGAAGGACCGAGAAGAAGAATTTGGCTCGATCCGTGCACGCAAAACGCACAGTCGTCAGTTGGACCCCCGATTGATATGTAACATGCAATCCATGGAGTGGCGAGCGATAACGCAAGGGCCCGTGGGAACGCAGTACCGACGCAGGCCAATCGGGCACTCCCAGCCGCCATCCGTTCCCCCCCGGGTCCAACAACTCATGCGGGCGAGCTGCGCGAGCAAGAGACCGACGGCAAGAAACGCGAGGCGCGCCAGGGGGGGCGGCGACAAAACTAAGCTAGAGCCCTTACTCGAGAGGTCACCACAAAGAAAGGGGAATTTGGAGCGGATGCCCTGGAGCAAGGTGGAATCTGAGAGGGCGCGCATGCCAGGAGGGTGGGCCCTGGCCAGACCACGTCACCCCCTAGCCCCGGCAGCGCGGGGCAATATGGCTGCGCAGCGCCGCCCCCCCCCCCAGGCAGTGCCCGCAGAGACTGGTTCAGCGCAGGAAGGTGCGCGCAAAGCAGCGCGGTTGGTTATGCCCCACTAGCCCCAAAGCGACACTGGCGAAACAAATGTTGAGACTCCTCGGCGCGCCCCAGTGGCGCGAACGTCTGGCAGAAGCCAGATACCGGGGCAGTCCTGCAGTCTCTCACTTAGGGCGGGGTGCTTTAAGGCAGCAGGAATCCCATGGGCACATGCCACGCATCTGAACAAAAAAACGCACGGAAAGGTCGATTGCTTACCTCTGTGCGGGAGCTCTGGCTAGCCGTCAAATGCCCTAGCCCCCGAGGTGTGTTAACAGACCTGAGTGGGCGAGGCCCATCAAAAAACGATTCAGGATGAGCAACAGGTCCTGGAGAAGGAGTCGAGACCTCTGGGGGTCGACGTCATGAAAAATTCATGATGTCGGGAGTTTGGGGTCGTCTCAACTCGCCCCTGCTCCTGTCCCCCGAGATCCAGCGTCACAAAGAACTTGCACCATCGTAGAGTTCACGACCAGAGCCCACAAAGGACATGGTAACGCTGGGGTGTGGTTTGCGATCGGCGCCGTTGGGAGCTTGGAGGGCACGACACGGTCCTCGTCGGGCCTCCTCGGGGCGCGGCGGAGAACTCTGTCGGGGTCCCCGCCCCCCAGGGTGCACCCCGGGGTGCCGCTTGCAAACCACACCCTCTACAAACCACACCCTTCGGAGTCGCCGACCAGACCCCATCCTCCCGCTGCATTTGTCGAGCTGGATCGATCCCTGATGGCCTCGGGGCCCGAAACAGGGCGGAAACGCCCGCTGTGAATAGAATGCAGCGCCCGGATCTGAGGAGGGGCGGCGCTGGAGGTGCCGCCAGCAGAGCCCAACATCGAGGACGAGGAGGAGGAGGAGGAGGAGGAGAAGGAGGAGGAAATCCGCGCGAACCTCCGAAGGTTTACAGCAGGTTCGTGTCGTGCCGACTGCGGCATTCGTCTCTGGCACCGCGTGGACCGTTCAACCTTGAACGACCGGCGGCTCCTCGATCGCCAGATCGCTCCAGACCGAGCCGATTCTGGGTCACAGGCAGCGTTCACCCTTGAACGCCCGCGGCGAAGTCGCCGCAGCGTCGGCACGACGTGAGCCTACCGTATGCCTGTGCCGCGTCGTGCCCCCCATCGTAGGAGATTGTTCCTTATCCTGTGGCGCGCAGCGGTCGTTACCCGGGCCGGACTCCCCCCCCCCGGGCAATGGCAACGAACGTACGCAAGGGGGGGGGCTTGGCTCCCCCCCCCCACGTGCTGGTGCTCGCGTGCGTGCTATGGCGATCGCAGCGCACCCCTGCCCCGACGAGCCCCGCCCTGCCCGAGCGCCACCGTCACCCGCCCCCCCCTATCCCCTATACCCCCCGACGTCGTGATCTGTCAATGCCGTGGACCCCCCAGCGGTCTGGACCCAGTTCCCTGGACCGGTTTCTCTTCCCCAGTCGCCTCTTGACGGTCCCGAGGGCCAGCGATCTAGGCCTCCCAGATGCGGTCCCCGTAGATGTGGTCGGAGGATCGCGCCGCACCGCCGATGCATCGCCAATGCGGCTCGATGTGGAGCTCGATTTGCTTCACGTCGACGTCGCCAATGCATCGCCCACGTCGACGATGCATCGCCGGTGCATCGCCGATGTATCGCCGATGCATCGACAGTGCATCGAGGATGTGTCGGCGATGCGGCGCGATCCTCCGACCCCATCTACTCGGACCCCATCTAGGATCGGGTACGGCCAGGACCCCGGGTAAGGGGACCCGGTTAGTGGTGGGGCCCTGGAGCCTTCGAATTGGCCAGAATCACCAAACCAGGTTTGCCATAGCTGGTGTTTCTTCGGGTGACGGCAGTTCCGGTTAGTGGACATGGGACAGGGGGCGCCCCCGGTACAGATCACTAAACCAGGTTCCACTAAACCGAGTTCTGCCAACGCCCGATACCCAGACCCCCGACGTCATGATTTTTTCATGACGCGACCCCCAGAGGTCCCGACCCATTCCCCGGGACCGGTTTTTCGTCCTGAGTCGTTTTTTGACGGTCCCGAGGCCCGGCGAGGGCCCGCGGAGGCCGAAAATAGCGAAAAACCTCCCGTCGTGATTTTTTCACGACGCGAGGAGGTCTGGGTAGGAGGCCTCGAAGCAAGGCCCCCTCTAGAGGCCGAAACCGGGGCACGGAGCCTCCCGTCGTGGTGTTCTCTCCCGGCCTCTGGTGAGGGCCTGGGCCGGCCCTCCCCGGGCGGCCACCGCGGCCGCCGGAGCCACGTGGCAGGCGTGCCTTAGCGCTCTTGCACGAGGGATCGGAGGTGGATAGGCTTAAGTCGGGCCTGTCCCCAGAATAGTCCAAAAAGGTCGAAAAATGTTCAAAAAATAGTCCCCAGACTATTTTTGGATTATTTGGGGATTATGTTTGGGGTATGTTTTATTTTTCGTCGAAAATCCCCCTGCAGGAGGACAGGCCCAACTTAAGGATAGACCTCCTACCCTGACACGTCGATCAAGGAATTGGCCGTTTTCGGTTCGTGAGAGGGCGTCGCAGTCGTCCTTTCTGCGGGTCCAGGTCCGTCGGTTTCGTTCCCGGGCCGTTTTCTTTAAGGGGAGGTCTACGAAAGGGAGGTCTGTCCCCCGCCGAGCCTTGGCTCTTGCACGAGGGAGGGCGAGGGCCAGGCGAAGCGGGGTCCGGAGGGAGGGGGGGGCCCTGGGGCCGTCCGTAAGTCGGGCCTGCCCCTCTACAGGAGGAGTACTTCAAGATAGTTCTGAAAAAATGGTCCGGGGCGATTTGTTCACCAGTCTTGACTATTCTTGGATATGTTTCGACTTTGTCTTATTTGTTTCGTCCAAAGTCCGCCCGTGGGAGGACATGCCCGACCTAAGGCCATCCTGGCGTTCTTCGGCCACGCACAGAGGGGGGCAGGGGGGAGGGGGGAAGGCTTCTCAGAAGCAGCCTCCTTCTGAGAAGCTTTCCCCCCTCCCCCTGACCCACTGTGCGCGCCGCCGAGGGGAGGTGCGGGGGTTCTTGGGGTCATCATGGTGTTCTCCAGGTGCCGTCATGGCCATCATGAGGAGGCAGGGGCAAGGGGGCCTGCGCGGGGGGGCGACGAGCGAGCGAACGAACAGCAACGAGGAGGAAGGGCTCCGAGATCTAGAACACAGTTCTATCGCTACGCGATCATCTTTGGGGTGTGCAAGAGAACCAAATTTGACGCACGACGCCCTCATTTTGTCAATTCGCGGTCCCTGGAAGCCCCGACTCTTTCCTTGGGGCAGTTTCTTCTGTGCCGTTCTCTGATGGCCCCGGGGCCGGGCAAAGGCCCCGAGGGCCCGAAGACGGCGGAAGACCTCCCGTCCTGATTTGCTCACGGCACGAGCATGTCTGGAAGCAGGTTTGGGGCTGTGGAAGATGCGGCCACGCGCAGCGGGGAGCAGGGGGAGGGGGGAAGGCTTCTTAGAGGCGCCCCTGCTTCTTAGAAGGCGCGGGCCTTATCTATAGATGTAGGGCCAGCGCCTTCTAAGAAGCAGCCTGCTTCTAAAGCGCCTTCCCCCCTCCCCCTACCCCCTTGCGCGCGCCGCCAGGAGGAGGGGGAGTTCTTTGGGCCAGTCTGGTGTTCTCCTGGTGCCAACATGACCATCATGGGGAGGCAAGGGCAGGGGGGCCTGGGCGGGGGGCGGCGAGCGAACGAACGAGCGAACGACGACGAAAATAGAGGCCTCGAGGGCCGCCAAACGAGAACCAAGATCAGCCTCCAGGCGGGGCACGCCCGCACTCGCCGCCAAGTGCCTGGAGCGGGCGCTGCTGCTGCGAGGGGCGGGCGAGGGCTCGGGCGGCGAGGCCGACCGGACGCTCGCCGCCACGCTGAGCTCCCTGGGGAGCGCGAGGCTCGGGGGCGGCGCCTTCCCCAGGGCTCCGACGAGAGGGGCTGTTCGATCCGGGCGTGTCTCCGTGGGTCTTCGTGTTGTGCCGCCTCCACCTGGGGCCTGGGGCGTTCCAAACAGGGCCTCGCCTTCGAGGGCAGAAGGAGCTGTCATCTCTTCCTCGGCGGAAGGTCGGCGCAAGTAAAACGAGGCCGCCTCTGCAGGCGGAAGCCGGCGGCAGCTCGGCGGAAGGAGGCCCAAGTAAAAGATGTGCCCCCCAAGAGATGGAAACGTTTTTGGGTTCGGAGTTTCCGAAATCGCCCACTTCGTGCCTTGCAGCCCCTGCCCCTGCTTCAGCCCCTGGGCGTGGCCGTGACGCCGCCCCGCGCCCGCTGCCCAGGGCGCAGCACTGGCTGGCCGCCCCGGCCGCTCCGGCGACGCACCTCGCCACGTGAGTGCCCTCCCCTCCCCCTCCTCCCCCTTCTCCTCCTTCTCCTCCTCCTCCTCCTCCTCCTCCTCCTCCTCCTCCTCCTCCCCCTCCTCCTCCTCCTCCTCCTCCCCCTCCTCCTCCTCTCCTCCTCCTCCTCCTCCTCCTCCTCCTCCTCCTCCTCCTCGTCCTCCTCCTCCTCCTCCTTCCTCCTCCCCTCCTCCTCCTCCTCCTCCTCCTCCTCCTCCTCCTCCTCCCTCCTCCTCCCGCCCTTCATCCTCCTCCTCCGTCTCCCTCCTCCTCCCGCCCTTCCTCCTCCTCCTCCTCCTCCCTCCTCCTCCTCCTTTTCCTCCTCCTCCTCCTCCTCATCCTCCTCCTCCTCCTCCTCGGCCTCCTCCTCCTCCGGCCCACTATCGGGCCCCAGGACCATCCAAAACAGATCCGGGATTCAAAACTACCCCCAAGGATGGGGTCAGGAGCTTTGGGGCCGTGGAGTGACAAGTCAGATTTGAGGACGTATGGGCCGGACAGGAAGCAATGACATTCGGCCGCGCGCAGAGAGGGGCATTTTTTTTAGAAGGCGGGGACCTTACTTATAGATGCAGGGCCAACGCCTCATCAGAAGCAGCCTCCTTGTAAGAAGCCTCACCTCCTCCCCTTTTTTTCCCTGGGCACCCTGCCAAAACATGAACATAACAACTTTCAGGTCCGCGCGGATTTCTGGGATCGGCGCTGAACCCTTCCTGGCGCGGGAAGCGCGCCAGGGGCGGCGCCGGAAACGCCGCCAAGGGGTTCCAGCGCCGATCGAAGAAGTCCGCGCGGACTCCCGAGGTTTAAACGAATGCCATTGTTTGCCCCCTAGCGCTATGGGGGTTCAGGATCGAGGTTCCCAGGCCCCGTCGAAACATTCGAAAGTCATGACGGCAAGTTTTTGCTCGTTTTTGGCCCCTGAGGGGCCCAACCAAGCCCCGGGACCGACCAAAAACCACTCGGGATGAAGAACGGGTCCCTGGCCGAGCCGTGTGGGGGTCGAGGTCGTGAAATAATGGGTGTGTCATCCGGGATTTGGGTTCGAAGTTTTCACACATCCTCCCTCCTCCTCCTCCTTCTCCTCCTCCTCCTCCTCCTCCTCCTCCTCCTCCTCCTCCTCCTCCTCCTCCTCCTCCTCCTCCTCCTCCTCCCTCCTCCTCCTCCTCCTCCTCCTCCTCCCTCCTCCTCCTCCTCCCTCCTCCTCCTCCTCCTCCTTCCTCCCTCTTCCTCCTCCTCCTCGTCCTTCTCCTCCCTCTTCTCCTCCTCCTCCTCGTCCTTCTCCTCCCTCTTCCTCCTACTCCTCCTCTACTCCGTTCCCTCATAAGTAATTTCTCTTCCTCGTCGTTTCTCGAGGGGCTTGCCCGCTCCGGGGCGCTGCCCAGCAGCCGCGCCCCGCCGAGAGCGTGCGCCAGGGGTGCCAGGGTCGCCCCGGACGGGCGCCAGAGAGCGGAGGCAGGGCCCTTTTAAACCTGGGGGGCAGCGCTCGAAGTGGATAGGCTTTTGTCGGGCGCGTCCCCCATACAGGGGGATTCTCAACGAAGAATGCCAAGTACCCCAAAACTACCCCCGGAAAGGCCCCAAAAATACTAAAAAGAGAGTCCCCGGATCATTCCCAACCCTCCTGCGTTGGGTACTCGTTTTGAATAGAGCACTGCGGTCTCCACTCCTTCCTCCCGCCTCCCTCCACCTCTCTTCTCTCCTCCTCTCCCCTCTCTTGCTTCCCTTTTCCTATCTTCCCTCCTCCTCTCCTCCCTTGCTCCTCTCTTCCCTCCACCTCGCCATCCCTGGGTGGCTGCGATCTGTGAAATTGTCGCCACTTTCGAGGGCTGCTGTGGGGCGAGCAGAGTGACGTCTTACGGGGCTTCAGATTAGACCTCGCCATCGCTGGGGGGCTGCGATCCGTGAAACTGTCGCCACTTTCGAGGGCTGGTGAGGGGTCCAGCACAGTGGGTACTCACCGCAGATTCAGATTAGACCTCGCCATCCCTGGGGGGTTGCGATCTGTGAAACTGTCGCCATTTTCGAGGGCTGCTGAGGGGCACAGCACAGTGGGTACTCACCGCAGACTCAAATTAGACCTCGCCATCCCTGTGGGGCTGCGATCTGTGAAGCTGTCTCCACTTTCGAGGGCTGCTGAGGGGCCCAGCACACTGGGTATTCACCGCAGACTCAGATTAGACCTCGCCATCCTTGGGGGGCTGCGATCTGTGGAACTGTCGCCACTTTCGAGGGCTGCTGAGGAGCCCAGCACAGTGGGTACTCACCGCTGACTCAAATTAGACCTCGCCATCCCTGGGGGGCTGCGATCTGCGAAACTGTCGCCACTTTCGAGGGCTGCTGAGGGGTCCAGCACACTGGGCACTCACCGCAGATTCAGATTAGACCTCGCCATCCTTGGGGGGCTGCGATCTGTGAAATTGTCGCCACTTTCGGGGGCTGCTGAGGGGCCCAGCACAGTGGGTATTCACCGCAGACTCAGATTAGACCTCGCCATCCTTGGGGGGCTGCGATCTGTGGAACTGTCGCCACTTTCGAGGGCTGCTGAAGGGGCCCAGCACAGTGGGTACTCACCGCAGATTCAGATTAGACCTCGCCATCCCTGGGGGGCTGCGATTTGTGGAATTGTCGCCAATTTCGAGGGCTGCTGAGGGGCCCAGCACATTGGGCACTCACCGCAGATTCAGATTAGACCTCGCCATCCCTGGGGGGCTGCGATCTGTGAAACTGTCGCCACTTTCGAGGCCTGCTGGGGGGCCCAGCACAGTGACGCCCCACGCAGATTCAAATTGGACCTCGCCATCCCTGGGGGGCTGCGATCTGTGAAACTGTCGCCACTTTCGAGGCCTGCTTGCGGGGCCCAGCACAGTGACGCCACACGCAGATTCAAATTAGACCTCGCCATCCCTGGGGATCTGCGATCTGTGAAACTGTCGCCACTTTCGAGGCCTGCTTGCGGGGCCCAGCACAGTGACGCCTCTCAAGTAGCTTACACATCAAGTTGATTGTCCATACAAGTTTCGGCCAACTCCTCGTTTCCATTAATACAAATGGGTTGGGTACGTCACAGGGTAAGTGTTTGATTATTTTTTGATTATATTGGGGGTATTTTTTTGTTTCGTCGAAGGATAGGCCCGACTTCAGGATAGGCTCGAGGGGAGAGCATCGGCCTCCAACCGCCCAGTCATCGCCGACGGGAGCCCGAGGGCTCAGATGGCTCACCCCGCCCGGGAGCGTCCGATCCATCCTCGATGCCTCGCCAGTTCCAGGCCGATGCGTTCCTCCCCCCTGATCAAGCAGTGGCGAAGCGTCCTGGCTCGCCTATAGCCCTACCGAACACTGTTATGAGAACCTTTTGTGGTTGCCACGGAATGTTCTTCGAACATTTTTGGCGGAGCCTGTCTTGTTTGATCGCATCGGGTCTATGCTCTAAGAACAGTGTTTTTGTTATATAACACTTGTGGGTTATACGAACATCTCGTGGTATGGCTATAGGAATGCCGGAACGGTCGGTCCCTGCTCAACCTGAGCCAGTCCCCCCAAATGATCCTCGTCATTCGGTTTTCGGGGGATAACTCGGATCTCTGGCGGCCGCTCGGGGCCCCTGGCGGCACCTCCCCATGCCGGCACGCCCCTCACACTTTTTTGGGGTCCCTTGGGGGCTCTTCCCTTCCTTCGTCCCACCAGCCTTCCGGTACTCACGTCTGCATACGGTTGATTCCGCCGCCAAGATCATTTAATATGCTGGATGTTTGGTCATTGTTCCCCCACTTGTTCTATGGTATTCGTTCGAGCTGGGTCGACCTGTGAGGGTCGTGGGGCCCGAAGCCGGCCGAAAACGCCCGGTGTGAGAGCTTCGAAACTCGAAGCCCGAAGGTTTTAGACCTCGGACCTCGAACCCGAACATTTTAGATTTTTAACCTCGAACACGAAGATTTTAGACCTTGAACTTCGAATTTCGAACCCGAAGATTTTAGCTTCGAAGCTCGAAGCCCGAAGATTTTAGACCTCGAACCTCGAACCCGAAGGTTTTAGATTTTTAACCTCGAACACGAAGATTTTAGAATTCGAGCCTCGAACCTCGAACCCGAAGGTTTTAGAATTCGAAACTCGAAGCCCGAAGATTTTAGACTTCGGACTTCGAACCCGAAGATTTTAGATTTCGAACCTTGAACACGAAGATGCGAGAACTCGAACCTCGAACCTCGAACCCGAAGGTTTTAGAATTCGAAACTCGAAGCCCGAAGGTTTTAGACCTCGGACCTCGAACCCGAACATTTTAGATTTTTAACCTCGAACACGAAGATTTTAGACCTTGAACTTCGAATTTCGAACCCGAAGATTTTAGCTTCGAAGCTCGAAGCCCGAAGATTTTAGACCTCGAACCTCGAACCCGAAGGTTTTAGATTTTGAGCCTCGAACACGAAGATTTTAGAACTCGAAACTCGAAGCCCGAAGATTTTAGACCTCGGACTTCGAACCCGAAGATTTTAGATTTCGAACCTTGAACACGAAGATGTGAGAACTCGAACCTCGAACCTCGAACCCGAAGGTTTTAGAATTCGAAACTCGAAGCCCGAAGGTTTTAGACCTCGGACCTCGAACCCGAACATTTTAGATTTTTAACCTCGAACACGAAGATTTTAGACCTTGAACTTCGAATTTCGAACCCGAAGATTTTAGCTTCGAAGCTCGAAGCCCGAAGATTTTAGACCTCGAACCTCGAACCCGAAGGTTTTAGATTTTGAGCCTCGAACACGAAGATTTTAGAATTCGAGCCTCGAACCTCGAACCTCGAACCCGAAGATTTTAGAACTCGAAACTCGAAGCCCGAAGATTTTAGACCTCGGACTTCGAACCCGAAGATTTTAGATTTCGAACCTTGAACACGAAGATGTGAGAACTCGAACCTCGAACCTCGAACCCGAAGGTTTTAGAATTCGAAGCTCGAAGCCCGAAGGTTTTAGACCTCGGACCTCGAACCCGAATAGTTTTTCATTTTGAACCTCGAACGCGAAGATTTTAGACCTCGGACCTCGGACCTCGGACCTCGAACCCGAAGATTTCAGATTTCGAACCTTGAACACGAAGATGTGAGAACTCGAACCTCGAACCTCGAACCCGAAGGGTTTAGAACTCGAAACCCGACACCCGAAGATTTTAGACCTCGGACCTCGAACCCGAAGATTTTAGATGTCGAACCTCGAACCCGAAGATTTCAGACCTCGCACCTCGCACCTCGAACAGGAAGATTCTGGAACTCGAAACCCGAAGCCCGAAGTTTTTTGACCTCGGACCTCAAACCCGAAGATTTTAGATGTCGAACCTCGAACCCGAAGAATTCAGAACTCGAACTTCGAACCTCGAACCCGAAGGGTTTAGAACTCGAAACTCGAAGTCCCAAGATTTTGGACCTCGGACCTCGAACCGAAGATTTTCGATGTCGAACCTCGAACCCGAAGATTTTAGACCTCGAACCTCGCACCTTGAACAGGAAGATTCTGGAGCTCGAAACCCGAAGCCCGAAGTTTTTGGACCTCGGACCTGGAGCCCACAACCCAGAGATCCGATGTCGTGATTTTTTGAATACGGGGTCCCCAGAGGTCTCGACCCAGGCCCCGGGGCCGGTCTTGCATCCTGTGTAGTTTCTTGACGATCCCGGGGCCCGGCGAGGGCCCCTCGAGGTCGAAATGACGAAAAACTTGCGTCCTGATTTTTTTCAATGCGTTGGACCTCTGGGATTTGGGACCTCGGACCTCGAGCCCACAACGTCCCCTTCCCATCGCTCCCCCTCGGAGGCAGGAGCGGACTGAGCGCGCGCCCGGCGGCCGCTCGCGACGATGCGGGCGCCCCTCTGGGGACGCCCCTTCGGCGAAGCGCAGCCGGAAGGCATCTCGAGGCCGAGAAAGCGCGGAGAAACCCAAAGAAACCACGGAGAAACCACGGAAGGCATCTCGAGGCCGAGAAACCCAGAGGTCCAACGCATTGACAAAAATCACGACGGAAGTTCTTCGCAAATTTCGGCCCCTGGGGGCCCTCGCCAGGCCTCGGGGCCGTCAAAGAACGACGCAGGATGCAGAACCGGTCCTGGGGAATGGATCGAGGCTTCCGGGGACCGCGTATTGAAACAGTCACGACGTCGGGTCTCTGGGGACGACGAAAGTGCCCGAACACTTCGAGCTTCGAAACGTCGACCCCACGCCCCCAGACCCGTAACGTCATGTTTTCCATGACCCCTCAGAGGTCTCGACCCATCCCATGACCGGCCTCTCGCCTGGAGTCTTCTTGTTCCGGGCCCCGGGGCCCGGCCAGATGATCCCCTGAGGCCGAAAACTATCAGGAGGGAAAAAAAAACACAGACACAATGAATCGTCGATCCCCACGAAAATATGGGAAAATATGGGAAGTGGGGGGGGAAGACAAAAACTCAGGAACTATGGGGAATTGTGGGGAATCTTCTTATCTGTGTGTCTTTCTCTGTGTGTCCCAGGGCCCCTTCAAACTAGCAGAAATCAGTCCGGCGCAACTGCTTCGTGATCCGAGGGGAGTCTGGAAATTCCGCCCCTACCGTGACCCCTCAGAGGCAGGCGCTGGGCGCTCACTCCGAGGCGCTGCGCTGCCGCCTCGCGGCCGTGGGCGCGCTCGAGAGGGCAGGCGGCGAGGACGCGGCGCTGGCCGGAGCGTTGCACGCCCTCGGCGGGGCGCACCGGGCGGTGGGCCAGGCGGAGGAGGCTGTGTCTGGCGCGTTTTCGCGGCGACGACGACGACGACGACCATGACGACGCCGACGACGACGCCGACGACGACTACGACGACGACGACGACGACGACGACGACGACGACGACGACGACGACGACGACGACGACGGCGGCGGCGGCAACGGCGGCGGCGGCGGCGGTGGCGACAACAACACACGGCGATCTACGGCGTGTCTCCTCCCTCCTCTTTCCTCTCTCCTCACTCCTCCTTCCTCCTCTCCGTGGCCATTTTGGCTCCACGCTCCGGGTTTGCCAAGGGACCACGTGGGTACCGCTGAGTCCGCGGCTCGAGCAGGTTCACGACGGCGCCGCCATGGCGCCACCGCTGCCGCCACCAGACGTCACAGTTTTTCGTGGTCCCCGCGAACCACGTTGGAACTGTGGCCATTGTTTGGGGTCGGAGAACTGGGCCAGCCGCATCGTCTGCCTGTGCGGGAACGCTGCTGCGGCACGGATCGCGGCGGCGGCGACAAGCAACCATACTTCATCCTCCCCCCCCATAGTGGCAAGGGCAAGGGAGGCAAAGGCGCTGACAGCAAGGCAGGCGCTGGGGGTTCAAAGGTGCCAACGGAGCTCTCTGAGCGGATGGCTGCGATCGAGAAGCGTTTGCCGCCGACCCCTCCCCCATGGCCGCGAGATGATTTTTGCCCACCGCCGTGGAAAGAGGTGCCCAGCGCCAGCGATTAAGCTATGAACGAACCTGAGTACACCGAGCTCGGGGAGCACATCGCAGAGTTCGACGAGGCCCGGCAGAAGCAGCCTTGTAGTGACAGGAACAAAGAGCTGCGCGCGCACCCATCCAGAAACATTTGGACACGGCAAGGTCGGAGAGGCGCGGTGCATCTTCCATTCAGCCCACTGGCGGCTCACCGCCGCGCGCAACAGGAATTCCAGCGTGCCAAGGCAGGCATGGATTGGCAGAAGGAGGAGTTGCAAGAGAAGCTCTCGCCGAGTTGGCCAACGGAGCTTCGGTTCGCGAGCAGGGCATCGAGGCCAAAAAGGCACGAGATAGCGGCGCTAACAGCGGCCTTTGCGCAGACGGCCGTTGCCGTCTCGGGGGCGCCCGCGCCGCCGACGCTGCCCACTGTCGCTCTTGATTTGGAACTCAAGAGGGAGGAGGAGGAGGAGGAGGAGGAGGAAGAGGAGGATATCGTCAACGAGCCTGAGGTCGCTGCCTTCATCGAGTCAGAGATGTAGGGCGTGCTCAAGACGCTGCTCTCCAGTAGGGTGTTGGCCAGCGCTGTTGTCAGTAAGCCTGTTGGTTGTAACGGTGGTGGTCCCGATGAACCCACAGCAGCACCTGAGAAGTTCAATTTCTCTGACGAGCAGCAGAAGTTAAGTACTGTTCAGGCATGCCCGCGAGGAAAGTGGCTCCCAAGCTTTCATGGCCGCGTTCGACGCCACGCACCAGGACAGCGCCGTCGCCAAAAAGCCGCGTCGAGGGCAGCCAGTTTAGCATCGATGGCCACGTGAACTGCTTCGACAGTCAGAACGCGGACTTGCGGCGCCCCTCGATCCTCAGGTCGTACGCGTCGCCACACAAGGATCCCAGTCAGAGCGCGCTGCCGCTGCGTTGTCAGAACGCAGATGCGAGGTGCTCCTCGACCTTCAACTCCTTCGCGTCGCCACGCGTTATCCCTGTCCACTGTCAGGGCGTGCTGCTGCCACGTAGTCAGAGCGCGGGCCCGGGGTGCTCCTGAAGCTTCAGGCCCCACGCGCCGCCGCGTGCGGATCTCGATAAATGACGCTGGATGACTTGGTGTTCGCGGGCTTCCAGGGCGCGGTCGTCTGCCCCTTGGGGGCGTCCGTCAGAAGGCCCTGCTGATGTCAGATTGAAACCTTCAGCGCCAGCGGCGGCGCGTCCACCGGTAAGCAGGACCCCCGCACCGCCACGGCGACCGTGGTTTTGCCCCAGGAGATGGGCCACACCGCCGATCGCGCGGAGGCTCTGGGAACGCGGGCGCCCGGTCGAGGGCGGCGTCTCACGGCGCTGCCCAGCGCGCCGACGTCGGGCCCAGCGCCGCTCGCAGGAGTTGCGATAGTTGCGCGAGACGGGCTCAGGTTGAGGGCCCACCGTTGGCAGCCAGGAGGTGGCGTCGCATCGCGCGCAGCACGCGGCACTTGGCGCGCCCGAGTTGCCCGCGCCCATGCACTTGTTCAATCACCTGCGCGCCAGCACAGGCGCCGCGGGAGGTCGAAGCAGCGCGTTGCTCCAGGAGGTTGGCCCGGCGGCGGCGCAGGCCGACGCGCCCGCCATCGCTGGGCGCGATTGGAACGCGCCGCCCGAGGAACTCGAGGCTTCCATTTTCTCGCCACGAGCGCCACTTGCACAGCGCCGCCTTATACCCTCGCCTTCCGCGGGGGCGCTGGCAGTTGAGCCTCGCATTATTTCGCGCCGGGCGCGGTAGCGACGCGCGCGTCCACCAGCCCCCCGGTCGACCGAAAGCGGGGGCAAATTGGTTGCGGGCCTGTCCGGATCAGCTCGGAGGGCGACGCCGCCAATGCGCAGAGACCAGCGTGCACCGTCGCCCCCAGGTTGAGCACCCAGGTCGCTATCGGCCCCCAGCCCCGCGCTCCGACTTCGGCGGCCCCCCAGCGCACGGCGCAGGCAGTTGGGAAGGCGCGCTCGGACCCCAGCGCGCTATCGGGAGTAACTCGGGGCCTTCTGCTTGCAGCCGGGGGGCGCGGGCAGCTGGGCGCATCGCGCGACGCGCTGGCCGCGGGAAGTGCAACGCAGCGGGTTCTGCGTGAACGTTGCGGGCGAGATGGGTCGACATTCGGCGCGCGCTCAAAGATCAGCCAGGTATTCACGCCGTCCCGGAAGGTCGGCGGCGGCTGCAGCGCGCGGCGAGGAACGCCACGCAGCTTCATTTCGCGAGCGAGGCGCGGGCGGTCGCGCTAGCCATAGTCTCGGGGGCGAGGCGGACGGCGGCGCGCGCCGACCGCCGCCTCGCCCAAATCGCCGGCGAAGCGCCGGCGGTCCACGCTGCCACTCGCCATGGACAGGGCGAGGCGGCGAGGCAGGGCCGCCTGGTCGAGCAGGCTCGTCGGCAATTTTAGCGACCTTCTGATGAGCAAGATTCCCGTGAATTCCTCGGCGGCATCGGCGCAGATGCCAGGCCGGCGTCGAGCGGCGCCCCCAAGGAGCACCACTGCAAGTGCAAGGAATAGTGCGCAATGGCTTCGTCGGGAAGGTCGACGGCGCTTCGCCGCGCCACGTGGGCGCGAGACGCCCGGCAGCCGATTGGCTGATGCTGGCGGATCTCGCGTCGCGAGGTCGCCGAGCAACGGGGAACGCGGAGATGCGCGAGACCCCGCCGCCATCGAAGCCATTGACCTGCCGCCGCGGTAACTCACATGGCCGGGCGAGCCTATCATATCCAAAACGACGGGGCCAGGGCATCGCCGGCGGCGCTGCACGCGAGCATCCACCGTGTCTGGCAGCGGCTGTGGCGGCCACTTCTGTCGGACATCCAGCGTCTTGTTGACGGGCCCCGCCGGGTCGCGACTTGCGCGCGCGCGCGGTCGCGGGCAGCTGAGGTCGCGGCGGGCTGAGGTCAAGAATGTCGCAGCGCTGCGGCCGCGGCGGCCGCTGCGGGCTTCCGCAAGCGCTGCGGACGCATCCCTTTGCAGGAGCTGCTCCACCGGTCATTGGAGTTCGACTCTCCCGCAGGTTTCATGGTGGGAGTTAACAATATGTGGTGCGCATTCCGCCTGTTCTGTCTCAATGGGCACTGCAGTGATCAAAGCCTTTGCGCTGCGCGCGGGCTGCCAGCCAGCGACGTTGTCTGCGACGTCGCCGCCCAGGTCTGGTCGGCCGCCGCTTGCGATGCGCCGCCGTTTAGCCAGCCGCCCATCAGTCGCACCAGCTACATTGACGACGATGATATTCGCGCCTAGTCAATCAAGGTCAAGGGCCACCGCTGTCAAGCTCACGGCCGGGGCCATGACAGACTTCAAGGTGGCGGCCCAAGCCGTCGAGGCTCAGGTGACCGATAAGTTGGTGGTGTCTGCGACTACGCGTGATCTTCCCCAATGCACCGTGTCGGAGCTGGGCCATCCCAATGGAGGTCGCGCGTCGCAGCGCTGTCTACGCGGGCGTCGACGTCAGCGCAGGCAAACACGGGCGATCCAATGGAGCGCCCCAGACATGGCCGGTCAGACGCCGGCGGGCGGCACGACGCACGCGCAAGTTCCGCGGGAATTCGGCAAGGCCATTGCGGTCAAGGACGCCCAGTCCATCGGGGTCGTCGTCCGCGCCGGAGCCATGTCTGCATCGCGCCGCGGCGTCGAAGTTGCAAGCGCGGACAACGAGCGGCTGCGGCTCAGGCGGGCTGCGAAACGAGGGCGCATGCCAGCGCGCGGGGGCGCCAGTTGCGTTTCGGAAACCATTGTCCTGTTAAGTGATGGGGATGCCGCCGTCGCCGCCCCCCCTGCCGCGCAGCGGCGCGGGATGCCACGGCAAGCCGACGCGCGCAATGACCCCTTTGCTTCCCAAGCGAAGCTGCTCGGGCTGCGGCGAGAGGCGAGGCCGACGCTTGGCCTGACTGTAGAGGGCCTCTGTCGCGAGCCCGCCTTTATGCTGAGCGTGCCGGGTGGAGCGTAGTCTCGGGCATCCGTCGGTTGGGCCACTGCGTTTATCACCTCGAGGTAGACCGCGCGCCGCCTAGCATGTTCAGCACCGCGCTCCCCGCTGGGACCCCGCGCCAGCATGAGATTAGCCCTGTAGCTGGGGGCCGCACCAGGATATCGCGCCTCTTTCGATTTCGTTCGTTCGAGCCTCGGTGATCGCTTGATGAGTCTCGGGAGTTTGGGCACGTTTCTCATCGGGAGCTGCTCGCGCCGCAGGATCTGGATTAGGCCCCGTGCCCAAGCTGCAGGGTGCCATTGCGAGGTTTCATGCGATTGCGGTCAGCATGACACTGCTTGCCATGGTCTTCCCCAGCGCACGTTGCCAAGGGTCGCCCAAGCT